AAACAGTACAACAAATTATCTGCATCAATTTTATTTTGTTTCCTTCCTTACAAATAGCTGGAATTAATTCTGAGACTCAGGAGAGGAGAAGGTTAGGGTTTTTGAAAGATTGGCTTGATTCTAATAAGATTTAAGGGTAAAGCTTGAAATGGTTTACCAGTGAGTTCGCTTATTGTTTCGGCTTTTCAAATTTTTGAGCTTGTTCCCTAGCTAAAATCTGGGTAGTTTGCCACATTGTCTTCACAAATTCAAGTAAAAATATTAAATATGTTGATTTGCTGAGAGCGAGACAAAAAAAGATACGCAGGTCTGTTGCTCGTGCATTCAGTTACATTCCTGTAATCCTTTGCTTGTGAGTTACTGTAATTGTTGTATACCCTGAGCTCTGGCTTCCCCACTGAGGTAATTTTTAAATCAAAAAAACCTTCAGGAAGGGAAAGTACTCTCCACACTTTTGTCACTGATGCATATTTTAGCACTTGTTTCTTTGTCTATATTGGGAGTTTGGGTTACCTTACTAACTTCAAAATTCTTACTGGAAAGCCAATTTTTATATTCAGTATTGTAGAAGGATTTCTGCATGTCCTGTCTCAGTGGGTCAGCAATTTTTGACAAATGATCGTGTAGCAAAAGGCGTTGCTTTCATTGGCTCTGATTTAGTAGCGTTCTGTTGCATGCAGGTTTTTTGTTTTGCTTTTTGGCCACACAGGCTTGCCATAGATTGTTACAGCTAGCTCTCAGTGGTGTTGTGCATGGGAAAATAACCTCTGCTGAATGAATTTAAGCTTAATACATCTTGTAAGCCATGCATTCGTGTAACTCTCATGTAAATTGTAAACTTGAAGAGTGAGAGAATGAGCTCCATGTATGTACATTTGTATCTCCTAGATGGAGTTGTAAGCAACTTCTGCTGAGCATTCATTGAACATTCTTATATGGTAGAGCTTCATTTTTTAAACCCACATTACAATCCAGAAATCAGATGGACTATCCAGCTGTTTGAGTGCATACCTCAGTGTTACAATAGATGTTTTCAGTTCTTCAGTATCTTCTAAGCTTTCATGAGCTTTTTGCGAAGTATGTCAAATTTGTAACTGGCTGCAGATCCATCAGTTTGTCTTGCACGTAATCAGTTCTCACCAGGCTGAATAGGATTAACCTAGCTGACAGAATGGTAGTATCTGAGTTACCTGTTTGCCACATTCTTCATCCAATTTGACCTAATTAGTGGATGTGGATGGGTGGGTCAGGTTCACTATGCCTCTGCCTCTACTGGTTTCTCAGTTCTTTTGAAAGTTACCTTCGGGCAATTTAAGCTGTGCTGTGGCAGTGAGTTTTTGGTTCAAATTAACGTTCAAGCAGCAGAGGAAAAGCACTATTGTCCCAAGTTACATTTTACACAATATTCAGTTATTCTTTACTCCTGAAGATAGTAATCATTGTTTATTTTTAAATAAATATTTTATTTATAGTTATTTTTATCCTTTCCCATGCTTGGACCCAGGGAAGCAGGACGCTTGCTCCAGCCAGCCAACGTGTTCGGTCCTGGCTGACGGTTTGGCCCATGCGTGCAGCCGTTGCAGCTCCACGTAGTCAGATGTCTGCACCTGTGTCCCTTTTTTTTTTATTATTTATTACTGTATTTGGTCGTCAGCATAGCCTGCTGATGATCTCACTAGTCTGTCAGCCTCACACTAACCACCTTGCCTTTCTCCACGCCTAAGGCCATTCAGTGAGTGTCGCTGGGGCTTTCCCTTACCTTCTGGTCTCCTGCCCCAGATGCGCTAGAAGAAGTGTGGAGGTTTGTTGGCAGAGAGAGTGACTTCTTTGAATGCCCAGCGGGGCAGCAGCCCTCTGCCTGCTGGCTTTGGATTTTTCCAACCTCCGGTACTCCAGGACTTCTTCAGGTGGCTGTGAAATGTGTGACTGGCCCCAAATAGGAGACGCAACAAAGCATGCTATGGCATGCTCTGCCCTACTGATCATTGCTTATTTTAGCATGGGTGTGCACACTGGTTTATGTTATTGCATGGCCACAAAAGAGTATACAGGTTAAATTCCATTAGTTATGTGCCTTGGTAATTTGATTTCTAATGCTCACATGTACAATCAGTATAAAAATGGTAGAAATTTGGGCTGTCAGTTGCCAGATTTTTTTCACACTTTTTGATATAGCAAGTAGCTAAGCCCAATGGATTTCTTTTAACTCCTCAAAATACAAATTTCCACTGTTGAGTTTTCTCTTTGTAAAAAGAAAAATGGAAGCAGAGTGTCTGGGAAGTGGTGTGGGATGAGAGCAGAGTGGGGTCTGCCTCTGCTGACAGTGGGCAGCTCGCTTACAATATGAAACTATTGCTGAAATGTTTAGTTTTCTTTCATAGCTTATCTCCATTGCTGGTGAGCACACTGTCTTGAAAGGTCCATTGCTTATTTTTTGACATTACATAGCTCTTTTGACTTTATATCACAGAAATAAAAATGATGGGCCACGTAAGCAATTTGCATTCTTGTGTGCATTTAGAAAATACTTTTAGCACAGATGTACAAAAGAAGTGATACAGCCACACTCTAGTCTTCCAAAGGTATCAGAGATGATTCAAATAGGTCAAATAGTTGATTGTTCTCCACAAGTGGAAAGCATCTAGCAGTGTGGTAAATAATTTTTGGAAGCAGGTGGATGAAAACCAAAGGATTAAGTCATGAATACAGGTAACTGAATATTTTCTTTCCAAAGTAACTTTTCTAGAAAGTAATCACTTTTTTTCTGACAGAAAGCCTTCTTCACTTGCTCTTTTAGTTCAGCAAGTACAGAGTGACTGAATTGCAAACGTAATTTTAATTTTAAGTGTTTCAACTTGCTGACTGTATTTGTCGAGCTATGTGTATGTGATGTGACTTCTGAATGAAAATCTCGGTATTTGTAAACGGTACTGATAACATAAGAATGAGTGGGCGTCTGTTACACCTTTCCCATTCTGATACAATTTTCTAAATATTTTTCCTGAGTATGCAGGTCTCTCTTTAAGGCTGGGAAATAAAATTCTGGACTGTGAATTGTAGATTTAATTTTTATTTCATTGGGGCCATATCTCTGTACTGTCTTTGTGTTGACATGTTGAAGCTATACATTTCTAAAAAAAAAAATCTTTCAAGAAATTTCTTTGCTAAATCAGTTGCTTTGCCAGTAAGAAACTGTATATAGTTTTGGTTTGGGGAAATACTGACGTGGTTTTTGTGCTTCTGACCTAAGAGTTATGAATGAAAATGTGTAGCTGAGCATATAACTAGAAGAAAGTTTGACTCAGAAAGGTGGTAACATAATTTGCCTGAGTAATTCTTAACGCTGGATGCAAGTAGTGTTATATTGTTAAACTCAGATTTCACAGGTATTTGCTGGTGAAATTGCTTTTGGCTGGTGGCAGCTTCAACCTCTTAAAAATCTTACTTTAAAATAAATGTGTATGTTAATGTGGAAGCAAAACACTTGGATGCCCATTCCTGTAAGATGCAGAGTTCCTTTATTTCTTGGATCACATGAGGACATGGCATGGAAGGACATACAGTCATCTCTTCCCAGTCCCTCAATACACCTGTATAACAATTCCCACGGTCTGGTGGTTTAGGAAGGTTATTTACAGAACAGCCAGACATCAGTGTGTTTCTCAGAGGATTAAATAATGCTGAATAGCGGTGGTCATGGGTGATTTGGTGATTAATCTTTTTTGATCAGATATGCTTTGGCAGTTTTGTTCTTGATATCCCCTAATATGTTTCTATGAATCTGAACAATGCTGCTTGCAATTGCATTGTGCATCCCCAGAAAACCTGCCATGTTGTATCATAAACTTAAGTAGCTATGCAGCTGGAGTAGCTCAGCCCCTTAAAAAGTTGGGGAGAAGGTCCAGATAAAGATAAAGAACTTGGGGAGGCAGATCTGTAATTTGTTGTTGATGTGTTGTGTACACTCTGAAATGGGTGTTAGTAACCTTACAGTCTTTCAACATCAACTGTTGCACAACTAATACTTGCAGCATTCAATCCTGGAAACACTGTAACTAACTGGAAAGCAGTTCAGTGTAGGAAAAAAATGCTAAAGAAAGTAAGTTGATTGTGAATTTGGTGACCTTACCCTCTTCCCTATTAGGAATGGTCTGGGCTCCTGCTGTAGCAGCCTTTGCACCGATAGTCTGAGCCACTTCAGAGACAGATGAGAGAGGGGAAAAGAGGATTACACCTTGAAAACAGGGGATAAATTAACACCCAGGAAGAGCTGTACCAAGATACTGTGTCCTTCGAAGCACTGTCGGTGAGGCAGTGCTGCAAGCTGAGTCATTCCGCCTGCTCTCACGGTCAAGCTAGTACTACCAAGATAGTAACTGACAGCTGGAAAAGCAGCTTCTGTTGGGGGAATTGGAATCGCTGGTTTGTTTTCCTCTGGGACTTTCTTTCCAAGTTGATAATGAAGGCCCTAGGTTTTTGCTTTGCTGGAATAAACCTGTGTATTTTTCACTTTTAAAATGTATCTAGTGTATGAATCGGTTCAGGTGAAGCTGGCGAGTGCACGGTTTGTTGCTTCTTTGGAAATAGTAGGTTCATGCAAGGTAACGTGTGTGCAGGCAGACTTCCAAGGGAACTTGAGAAGAGGCTGGAAACCCCAAGGATTGTATTACATATCCTGCCGGGCTTGTTGGGTCGGCGTGAGGGCTGATGTCCCCAGGTTCTCAGAAGCAGCCTGCTCTGACGGAGATAGATCAGGACAATCTAATAAGGAAAACACAGGGGAGAAACAGCACGTCGTGTGAAGAACGCCCCTAATCACAACACCGCTTTATAAAAGTCGGGAGAAAGTGAATTCCCTCCCACTGCGCACTCCTGTCCTGCATGGCAGTTCACATGGGTTCTTTTATGAAGAGCAGCAAAAGAAATGTCTTCAAAGCATCAAATGGTGCCAAAAATTGCCATCTTGCTCAAGAAATATTTATTCCGTATTGCTGTTATAGGTTAGGATGGTTGTTCAGCTGGCTTCCTGCCTGGTGTCCCACATCACTGCTGCACCTGAAAGAGGCTGAGGACAAAATGCTAAAATGTAAGTCTTTGGTTTTAAATAAGATTTATAGATATAACTAGATTTTCTATAAATTTACATTAAATATAATCAAAGAAGTTTTTTAAGATGACTTTTGCACTGTGATGAAATAAAGAGGTTTAGAATTAGATTTTCATTGTTCCATTATTTAGATGTTTGATTGTAGGCTCTCTCTCCTTTGAAAGGGAGCTCCTAGTTAGAACAGTGGTTTCCATACAATGTACTTCATATTTTATCAGACATGTCTAGGAACATCATTTTTTCCCCACTCTTTCTTCAGGTATTGCAAGCACATACAATAAACGCTATGTGTGTACATCTAATGGAAATAAAATATGGACACTGACTTTCGCTCCGGACCTTTCACATAAAACTCCGCTTGTTCTCCTGCATGGGTTTGGAGGAGGTGTTGGACTGTGGGCTCTCAATTTTGAAGACCTCTGTGAGAACAGGACCGTTCATGCTTTCGACCTCTTGGGATTTGGGCGTAGCAGTAGACCGCACTTTGACACTGATGCTCGGGAAGCAGAAAAACAGTTTGTGGAATCCATAGAAGAATGGAGAAAGGAGGTGGGGTTAGAAAAAATGATTTTACTCGGACACAATCTAGGTGGATTCCTGGCTGCTGCTTACTCATTAAAATACCCGTCAAGGTATGTGAAAATAAAGGAATGAAGGAATTCTTTTTCTTTATTGGATCAGTGGTTTTAACACAGATTTTATTTCATCAGGCTTTTTATAGATTATCTTTAAGTAAATGACTGGGCTGATTTAAAGAAACTTGATACTGAATTTTAAGCCCAAAGTACTAATTGTATGATTTGTTTCCAGGTGAACAGAAATAAGTAGATATGGTAAACATGCTTTTCTGTGCACTTTTCTGTGCCTCTTTGGTTTTGTTCAGTACCCTTTTGCCATGTTTTGAAGCGAAATGGCAAAGATCGTATTTATGGGTGAGTGTTTCGTAACATCTCTGATAAACATAGGTTTATGAAGGGAAAATAGGCCTGTTTCTGCCAAACTTCCCATTATTATGGATAACATTGAAACTTCTGAATGTAATTCCCCTAGGTAATTTATGCCTATATGCTAGCAGTCAGCCTGGTGCCAGCATGGTGATGTAAAAATCATTTTAGTGGCTGTTTGATTTAAGTTGTCTGTGTGCCACTTCGTATTTCTTCTTTGCAAAACAACCCAGCTGCAGCAGTCCTGCAATTGTATTTCATCAGCATTTTCTGCACCACATTGTAGCCAGCAGCTAATGCGGGTTTTTCCCCTTAAACTAGTAATTTGTCTGTTTTTTGTTATAGCCTGGTTGTATAGCCCCTGGTGAGCTAGGATCCCACCAACTGAGGTCATTCTGTATCAGAAACGAACGTTGCTTTTGTTTAGATACATATAGTGGACTTCTGTAAAAAACTGTGAATATAAGTTTAACTTTCCACATCACATGGCAGATTCTATATTATACAAAACATTCTTTTTGTTTTATATTCACATTGATTTATACCATATAAATTTCTTTGTCTCTTGTTTGGAGAATTTAAAATAAATTCATACATCATTTTTTCCTAAAACACTTTGCCTCTTTCTTTCCAAGTGGATGATGGCTGGCACATGTGGCTGGAAGTGACGTATGAAAGTAGTCGTGTGTCTAAATCCAGAATTGCAATGAAGAAATGCAATCCTCTGCTCTAGGGATGTAGACCTGTTATCCTTTTGGGCATAAACCAGCTTTTAGCTCGCTGTAGTTAGTTTCTTGTTGGGATCACTTACAAGTTCCTTACCCCTTTTTCTGAAGTATCTAGAAGTGGCACTAGCCTACCCCTGTGTGATGGGGTATTGTTTCTGCCCCCTGCTGACTTACATCAAAAGTGACACTTTATGTTTTCATGCCTCGCTGTGCTTTAGCTATGGTTAATTAATTCAGGGGTGGTTTAGTTTGTGCTCACGTTACTAATGTTTCCCTGAAATTAAACTAACACCATCAAATTAGCAAAATGACTGGTAGGATCTTAAGACATCATTGAATCAAGTGAAAAATATTAGCCAGATTGTCTAACAATGCATTAGAGGCTTAAGGGATTCTGGATACATATTGTTAGGAACGTAGATCTGTTTCTCCAAGCTTAAATGGTGCGTTAATTTACTACGTTGTACCAGAGTTGTTCATGGGATGTCTGAGGTTACTAATCCAAAAAGATTCCCATTTAGAATATTCCCAGGTGGTGGTGGGTCATGATTTTCAAGTACTGCAACTTCTGGCCTATTACTTTTGGACGATTCTCATGGTCAACTTCCCGTTATCCTGGGTTATGTTTTAGACTTGATTACCAAAAGGAGAAATACCAAATAGGAAGGGAAGTACGATTCTAAGAAAGGAAACACGAAGAAAAGCTTACTCTGTTTTTATCCTGTGCGATAGCTAATGTCATGGTTCATGCACAGAATGTGTGGCTGTCCTGAATGGCTCCTCATTGCTTGTGCTCCTAATCTCTCCTGCTTGGTTTATATAGTTAAATTCTACCCCGTCCTCTCTTACTGTTGGTGTTTGCTGCTGTGTGCGAATATGCTCGTGGCTGAGCTGACAGCCAAGAAGTATCTTTGTGAGGTTAATCCTATTCAACTCCTCATTTCAAGCATGGATTTTTGGTTTCCCTACTGATTATAGTCCAGAAATAGCCTTTGGAATCACTTCTGACATCGTTTTAGGCACTAAGAACTCTGCTGTATTAAATATCTAATCTCATGGCTTTGAAAGAGAAGCAAGCCATGAAGAAGAAAGTAAAGATGATGAAGCTTGCATGGAAAATCACCTTAAATATGCAAAACTATAGTTACGACTCACTTTTTCAGAAATCAACAGTATCTAGGACAGTTAGAGTAGCTGTTATTATGGGATTAAACAGAAATGGACAATTCCAATCTACCGAGATGAAATAGATTTTTTGCTTGAGGGGGACTCGCAGCATGAAGTGATTGATAATTGCATGTGCTGGAGACTGCTACTATGCTGTCTGTACTGAGATTCCTTTGAGTAGTAATTTTACAAATTGTCTCTCTGGCGTTTCTTTCATGACCTAAAATCAATAAATTTAGAAAACATCTGCTAATTTTGCTCGCTAATTTGCCTCTCTCAGTTCAAATTTTACTTTGATAAAATGATTTTTCAGATAAGTTGCATCTCTTCTTAGAACAGAGATCTTAGATGGCTTGGAAAAAAAAAAGACTTTAGCAAGCTTACTTAAATGACACGGATGCAGTTATCTTCTTTTCTCTCAAATTAAACTGCTCCTGCAAATAATATTGGTTGAGCATATAGATGAGGCTCTTTTTAAAAATAGACACAAGACTGGCCCTTTTTTCAGATGTGTATGATGGTGGGTCTCTGTGGAATACTGAGTTTCTCTGTGACATGAGCTTCCATGTTTCTGGTGTTAATACATGTGATTAGTTGCAATTCAGTCTCTCTAATTAGCAATCAAAAGCAAAACCGTTGATGAATCAGGAACTAGGTAATAAGCCACTATGATATAAGTGACTAAAACGGGTTGCATAGTCCACAGATAGCACATTTCTGTTGTACTCAGTCAAAGAAAAATTAATGTACTCTAAACCTCTGAACCTTTTTTTGCTGACAGGGTCAAACATCTTATCTTAGTGGAGCCATGGGGTTTTCCAGAGAGGCCTGACAATGCTGAACACGAAAGACCCATTCCAATCTGGATCAAAGTACTAGGAGCTATATTGAGTCCATTTAATCCATTAGCTGGGCTGAGGATAGCAGGACCCTTCGGTGAGTTTTAATTGTTCTTAAATACCGTTTCTGTTTTCGTTAAACATAAACATGAGGCAGATACCACATTAAGGTAAGCTTTGCTGCAAGCCCATATCACCACAGAGTTGGAGGAGAAAATGGGAAGGGTTGAGGAAAGATGAACTGTTTAGGACAAGAGGACAAGCTCTTTCTATTAGAAATACTAGTACCATAGCTTATAGCAAGCCATATCGTATTATTGTAGGCTACAGTTACAGCGAGTCAGGTTATGTGGGCATCTGTTGGGGAAGCCTGACAAAGAGGCATGGACGTGAAAAGATTTTTTTTCTGATTGCCTCTGGTCACAGTCCATTTAGTTTCCCTTCCAGCTGCAGTTTGATGGACAAACAGGATTTCCAAATTTGGTTAACATTAGAAGGCAGTCTCTCATAGACTTATTTATCTTTGGCCTGAGTTTAGAGAAGTTAAATTGAAACTGGGTTCTTTCCATTCGCCATTTTCTTATTAGTCTAGCAAATTTTGTGGGTCTCGTTGGTGTTCTGCATTACAGTGGCAGTCTGTCCTTCATATTTCTACATTTCTTTGACAGCCCTCACGAGATGTTAGATAAACTCTATATACCCTGATACTAAGACTGGGTAGGGATGACCAAAAATGTTACAGTTTTAGTTGATGTGGGGATTGGGGAGAAGGCAGTGATCAAATCTGGAATTCATCATATGTTATTCCTTCCAGAGGGGAAGGAGGTTATCTGTCTGTTACTCTCTGTACTACAGGAGTATCTGCTGGGGAAGCTTGCAAAAAGATATCCTTCAGGGTCCTCACAAGTTAAAATTAACTCATCTCTTCATCGTTTTTGGTACTCAGTCTGAAGATAAACTAGTGACATTTCTAGGCTTTGTTTATATTTAAACCACACCCGTCTCCTAAATCTCTTTCTATAGAATATGTATTTTAATGTGCTGATCTATTTGGTTGGTTTTGGCAGCATGTCAAAATTAGCTTTTCAGGCAAGCAACATGTTTTGTACAAACTTTTTTTTTTTTTTTAAAGTAATATGCTAATTCGGTTAACAAAACGACCTGAAGCATATTGAGTGACGAGCACTGATTTAATGCCTTTTATCCAATGACAAATGCATGCATAAATCAATCTATGTCGAAGAGTTCAAAGCTGAAGTTGTCTACCGTAGCAAGTAAGTGCAGTCAAAACCATGTGCAGAAACAGACCCTGTCTTGGCAAGGTATTCCCAGCCTAGCCTTGCTTACAGGTTGCTGTGGGGGGCAGCACTCTTCAAAATTTTTCATCCCATTTCTCAGTTCATGTGTTAAAAAAGTTTTGTATCATCAACTTCATGTGCAGTACTTGACAGGTGCAGCATAGTTCTTAGGGAAGGGTAAGTTTAAAGACTGTGCTGCGAGGTAGGCATCAAACCCAACCTGATGAGGGCCCGAAACCAAGCCCAGGTTTCCTTCTGCATGCACATGTGCTTAAGCTGCTGGGCAGGCGTAGCTGTCTGCTTCTCACTGTGAAGCCAATTGCTCTTGTTCAGAGGTGTGAGTTAGGCACTTAAATGTCAGCCACGTTCTTTGGGATATCACGATGGTGTCACATGGATATTTAATTGGACCCACAGGCAGGTACTTAAACCTGGGAGAGAGACAGTATCAAGAGAGATCTTTTTCTTTGAGTGGTTTCCAGTCAGTTGATTGGCATGTTTTCCTTCACTTAACTGGAACGGTCACCCAGGAGGCTCACAGTGTAGGGGTTTTGGTGCTTAAATTGGAGTTGCGAATTCCATTCCTAGACCTGAATGCCTAAAAATTCCTCAGGATAACAGTAATGTCACTGTGACCGCACCCTTTCTGTGGAACTCGATCTCTTACTATTTCTTTTCACATTTCCATGGACACTATGGAAAACATCAGCCAGACAATTGAGGGTGTTTTCAATAAACATTACCAGAATGAACCACTGTGATTTCATTCCAAAATTTGCTCCAAGGTGCCTTGACTCCTTGTTTCATTCTCCCCTGTAAATTCCTGGGGAAGTGAAGGAAGAATGGTTTTGCGATTGGATCCACAGACAAAAAACTTTTTATCAAAACAGAAAGTGAATTCTAAAATTTGGTAACTTTCAGTCCCCTGGTTATTGGAAGAGGGGGTGCTGTGGCATCTGTGCTGATAGAAGGGGAAAACACAAAATTAGTTTCTTTCTTCCAGGTACTCTTATTCCAAGCCAGCTGTATCGTTTGTGTTCAGAAAAGCCCCAAACAGACAGACAGAAAAAGACAGAAGTCCAGCAATTGAACTCTGTAGAGAAAATACAAGCAGCAGAGCAAACTGCAGAATGTTTGCAAAACCTCCATTGCTTCAGGACTTAAATCACTGTTTCATAAGGGAATTATTTTCTCTTGCACTGCGTTTGTTTTCTGAATTGATTTAAAGCGTACATAAGAGCATGTTGCAATTGTCTAATCTCGAAGATTACAAAAGCATAGATTACTGTGACGAGTTCTACTTAAATATTACCAGGCCTTTGGCCAGGGACAGGTGGGAAGATGTGACATCATCATAATTGCATAGATTAAGAACAGTCTTTTCAGTTGATAAACCCAAGTCGTAAACTGTGAGCCTAGCTCTTCAGGGATGAATAATATTCGTAGACTAAGATTAGTCTTTGGTGAGGCTCTTGGCCCAAAGATGCGTCTGGTCAACTAGAAGAGGCTTGTTCCTTGAAGAAGTGATTCAGAATAGGAGCTTAGCTTTAGAAAGCCTGAACTGGCCCATGAACTGACCTGCTTCTCTACTTTGGCTGTTAAGAGAGCATGGGGACAATAGCTTTCCTAGGTTAAATCTCGTAATTTATACCGGTTCTTGTGTCTCATGTTGAGATTTCTACACCTGTTTTTCAGCATAGACTTCTGTTCTTTCAACACTAGTTAGATGAACGAGCTGCAGAAAAGACAACTGTTATGTAAAAGGAGAACACAGACTTGTATCTAAGGAAGAAAAACTGCCCAGCGTTTTCAAGAGCACCTTCTGGTTCTGAATGGTGGGATGCTTTTGGCCCACAGTGCTGCCAGAGGAAGGAGAGAGACAGTGCTGGTATCATGTGAGACTAAACTGATGGCAGAAGGATACTCTGCTTAGCCCTTTTGCTGGTTCCCTTTGCATGTTGCTTCTGTTGCTGCAGTGGCCCTTCTCAAACATTCGCCGTATGTATTCAGCAGGGATTGAATTGCCCTCCTTCTGGGGCAACATAAAGTCATTTAGAATATTTATGTTTTGTTTCTGTTTGGTGTAATGCCATCAGGTTTTCCTAAGACACGCAAGTGGTGAAACAAAACGTTGGTGTAGAAGCAGCTTAGCCAAGACTTTCAAGGGAACGCGTTTGGAGGGTTGTAAGGAAAAGTGTTAGGCAATCTGATGAAGTTGCCTATACTAATTCCTCTTCTAATGGTGTTTTCTGCTTTAACAGGATTAAGCCTTGTTCAGCGTTTAAGACCAGATTTCAAGCGAAAATATTCATCAATGTTTGATGATAACACTGTGGCTGAATATATCTATCACTGCAATGTACAGTCACCCAGGTGAGTATGCGTTTCCTAATGTGTGTTATGAAGTCTTTTATTTACTGAATGCCTGCTACTCCCTCCAATGGCCATGGCAACAGCGTGCATGCTTTTTTTCAAAGTTGTAACATTCATTGTATTAATTGAAGGAAAAAATAGCGTTGCACTTTTTCTGAATTCCAGAAACTGAAAAATGTAAGAGCTATCCTAATTCTGTGTTTCTTCTAATCTATCGGTGTGTTAATTCAAGAGAGTTTGGTACGAATTTTTCATAAAAAAATTGTTAGTCATTTAATTTGTAAAGAATTTCATAAAAAACTTTAAACTGAAGGCATTTCATTCTTTTAAATGTTAGCACTCAGTACTGTAAAAACATGGGCTCTTTCTGGTGAAAATTACATGCAAACCTTGAAAAGTTACGTTCCGTAATAGTAAAAAATCCCAGCCTCATGTGCTATTGCACTCCATGTTACCAAAAGGCACAGATACTCCAATTTAGAGAAAAGGCCGACCCAATGGAAATTTAATTGTTTTCATGCTTTCAAATGACTTGAAGTGGTGAAACAGCTTTCAAGAACATGACTATTCCTTACGGATGGGCAAAAAGGCCGATGTTGCAACGGATTCCACAAATGGATCGAGACATTCCTATCACTGTGGTCTATGGAGCACGTTCGTGCATAGATGGCAATTCCGGCAGCACTATCCAGTCTCTGAGACCAAATTCGTATGTGAAGACAATCGTAAGTTCACTTTTAAAGCGGTTGCTTGTTTGTTGTGTGGATTTGTTTAAATCGTATCTATATTTTTCTGTACCAACTGTGGAAATGCTGGCCCTTTGATTTAAAGCCCAGGGTAATAACTTCTGATTTCTGCAACAGAGAGAGAAAACAAATGTTAGATCAGAGGAAACCTAGACAAAAGAGTATTGAGTTCACAGAGTAAGAAAGAAACTTATTGTAGCACTAGAAGCTGAATTAGATCTTTGACCAAGGTCATTCTTCTGCTCTACAAAGTATTTTGCTCTATAGTGTGCTAATATAAGTGTTTTTTGTGGTCACTGGTAAGTACCCGGGGTTTTATCTGTGTTCTAAACCAGAGCAGTCCTAATATCTGCATATATATATAACATAGTGAGGAGGCTCTCATAATATCTTCTAATCTGTCTGTATGACGCTTTTGTTTCTCTGATAAGAGAGTGATTTGTACCTGGTGCTTAGGTTCTTGTAAGCGTCTTTAAATCATTAAAAAAATACTTAATGTTGTCTTCCTAGCTAGTACATTTCTGTTTAGAGGTATGACGTTGTCATTTAAAATGTGTGTACTTGCAACTTGGTGCAAATGTGCACACTGCATTTTTTTGTTGATTTCTATAAAAATAAATTAATTTTAAAGTATTCTTCACGTATTGTCACATCAGTTAGCCGTGATAATTGAATATACATGTGTGTTGCAATGCTATGAGGTGATAAAGTGTTTGAATACACCAGCTGTCTTGTTACTGAAGTCTAGATCTATCTGGACAGAAGTGTACAATATGTGATGTTGATAGCATACTACAACAAGTCATTCAAGTACAATGTTATAACCTTGATGTAGCTGGCATCAGAGCTGGAACTCAAAGAATAGGCATCGTTATGGAACTGTTTACATGTCTTAAAGAGCACAAATACATTTCATAAATGTGGACATCCAGACTGAAAGTGTCACTTAACTGCTTGACCAGAGAGAAAGTTGTAACAAAAAGTCACTGTTAAGACGTGTACAATAGGTTGCTAGGATAAAATGTCCTCAGTTGGACTGGGATAGGGTTAGTTTTCACAAGAAGGCGGTTGGACTGACCCAAACTAGTCAGTCGAACAGGATGTTCGATACCGTGTTATGTCATGCTCGGTATTTAAGTGAGGAGCTGGCTGGAGCAGGGGGCTTTGCTACTTGGGAGCAAGCTGAGCATCAGACAGGGAAAAAATTGCACTCTGTATATTGTTTTTATCAGTATTGTTGTTGTTATTTTCTTCTCCCTTTTCCGTTCTGTTAAACTGTTTTTATCCCAGCCCACCAGTTTTGCCTTTTCCTTCTGATTCTCTTCCCCATCCTGCTGGGGGGCAGAGGAGTGAGAGAGCAACCACGCAGTTCTTTGTTGCCAGCTGGGGCTAAACCATGACATATGCACATACCATTTAGGCAGATTTTTCCAGTCTGGTCAGTGGCTTTTAGAAGGGACTGTGGCTTTATTGTATTCCAGGTTAAAATTTTGTCAAGCCAAATACAGACTCCAGAAGTTAACTTGTAGCGGTAGAAATTATAAGGACATTCAAAAGCTGTAGGAGGGAAAGGGTTCTCGTAAGGCTGAGACATGGACTTGCAGTGCCATCCTTGGTAAAATGCACAGAGTGCTGGGGTTTTATTTTGTGTGTTTATTTGCAATTAATTTTTACTTTGAGTTTGTGGGGGGTTTTAACGCAGTTGCATAGCTGTACTTTTATGGGCTTCAGTTAGAAACTTTAGAGGGAATGTTTTAGTGGAGGGAGGGGAAAAATAGGTTTAAATGCAAATTAGTCTTTGACTGATTATAAAATCAAAGGAAAATAGGTCAAGTACCTTCTCTGTACACTATGGTGATGGCTTGCTTCATACTACTTTTGGCAGAGAATGATAAATTGTAGAAACAGTGTAGCCACCCTCTGTGTGGTTACTTAAGCACTTAACTTCGTTACATAGTTGCTGTGAAATAACCTGTGTCACAAATGGGGTGGTTTCCCCACAATATATTGCATGATTTGGATTTTACTTGTCCCTGCTTACCGTAGTAGTTATTAATTTGGAGGGTTGGAATCTACTTCCACAAGTCTAGAAAGTCCCCAGCAATTTAAGCTTCTGAGTTCTTAATTATTTATCCTAGTACCTTCTGCAGTCTCTTCCACAGAACTTTTGTAATAGGAGAATATGAATGATTTGATGCTCTCTCTTATGCAAACACTTGCAGAACTAAAGAGCAACTTCTCAGAACTATTTGAGTGGAGAATGCAGGAGATGAAGATGAATCAGAAGTTTGATATGTAAAGCATGTTCTCCAAAGTTTGTTTTGCAGTGACTTGTGTCGGCTTCAATGGTGGGTTTTTTTCTAACAAGGTGTGCAGTTGAATAAGCTGTAGTTTCACCCTCTCTTCCAGTGTAGCAAAGTTCCTTCAGCAGGTTCACCTCCAGCAGGTGAAACGAGCTTGTTTTTCCTTATGTTTACAGTCCTTTTTAGGCTGTATGATACGACCTCCTGACCACAGTTGTGCTAACTGCATTAGCACAGGCTGGGTGCAAGAGATCTGGTCCAGTTTTGAAATTTTTCTTTTCAAGTAATAACATATCAAGTAGGTACTGTGTAAAAGTCAGGTTCTTCACATATCCCAGTGTTTACTTATCTGTTTGTTTATTACATTCTTGTGATTTTGACCTGTTTCTTCACCTTTACCCTCTAGGCTATCCTTGGTGCCGGTCATTATGTGTATGCCGATCAACCTGAAGACTTCAATCAGAAAGTGAAAGACATCTGTGATTCTGTGGACTGACGGTCTTCTGTTCTTTGGAAAGTCATACCGTAGATAGCATTTAATAGCAATACTCCCTTTCCTAATCACTAAAGAATGCAGAGCTGATGGAACAGGCTCTGTTTGCACACAGTTTCTTCTAAGAAGCTATTTGCACACTTAAACCACTGAGTGCCTTTTGGGGGGGGGGTGGTAGGAAGATTTGAAGCAAACTTTGTACAGCTTTGTTTGAGATTGGTCTTTAGATTGTTGGCCTGTCATATGTGAAATTACATGTAACTTTTTAAACTGGAATTTTATTCAAATTTTAATTGAATTTTGCACATGAACTCTAAAAATGCTGAATTCTGACACAGAACTGTATCGATACAGGTACAATGTATAAAATGCAGTTCGGTTTCTTTATAAACGTTAGTATTTTTTAGTTGATGTTTCATAGCAAGAATATGAAATTGCTTATATATTTTATTTTTGGAATCCAGAAGTCCGTATACAATGTAGTAAGAGGTTGGGGGTTTGGGGTTTTTTTTGGAGTGATAACAGTTTAGGAAGCTGATTTTGGGAGAGGGACAGGGCCAAAACAATGAGCAGTGTCTATCTACTGAAATGTGTGTGTCAGTTTGTATGGAATTTGGGCTCAAGATTAGGAAATCTTGCTTCTGTTGGATTTTACTTCCATTTATCTCAAGACATCTTTTTCTATCTGTGCAACTTTTACATGAGGCTCAGTTTGTAAGAGTCGATGATGTCACCAGCACTCATGCTTCCGTAAATGTTTTGATATGTAGATTTAAAATACAGAAGATGGCTTATTAGTTACCATGTATTTTTAACACTTTACTACAAGATTTGTTACTCATCTAAACCGAACAATTGTAGAGGAGTTGACAACGTTTTGGTTAGGGCTAGGGAGTGGCCATCTGGATAGCGAGCATAATTCGCTTTTCTTTGGTCAGAAAACCTAGTCCACTTTCTAGTAAATTTAGGACAGAGGAGAGGCAGAGGAAGAATATTGAAGTTCTCTAACTGGGAACTACAACAGGTTAGTGTATTTTAGTTAACATGCAGCCTCCTTATAGGAAGGATTATTACTGGAATGAGCAATACCACTGTAACAAAATATATTTATATGTTTTGGAGATTCTTTATATAATTATGTATTTTAATTGAGTATTTCAATATCAGAGATAATCCAGTCTCTGCATCTTTTTGAAATCGTATTTTGACATTAGTTCTTCACATGCTTAGTAAATTATATTAAGCAAAATACTTTGTCACTTTAAAGCCAAATTATGTGGTGGTTTTTTTTTTAACAAGTTTACATAAAGCTATTGATCTGCTTTTGAATATTGAATTGACTACTGAAAAGTTCTTGATACTTTTATACATAGAGAATTTGACTTAATGATAGCATCATCTTAAAGCTAGAACGGTATTCTGTGCATTTTTTCTCAAATTAAGGAAATGCACATATTTATGATGTGGAAGGCAAAGATACATAAAATATTCAGGAAATACTCTGATTATGTTCCCAGACGAACATAATCTCTCTCTTTCTGAAAGAGATATTTATCTATATGGTGTTATGTAAACATCAAACAGTCTTTGTGACTGCCTTGACTGATAGCACTTAATATCTAAAAAGCTAAAGATTTTAATTAAAAGTAACTATTGAATTAAATTACTCTTTCCATTAGCAGATGCTAGACTTTTTAAACATAATTTTGCATTATTTGCTAAAATCTTGAGTTCAAAATGGAAAATCAGAATTTCAGTTATATTTTTGAATATAAGCTATAAATTATCGGTCATGCCACCATTTAGGTGGATGCCTTCGGTATGTATTTTTTCACCCTTTTCAGTGTCTAATTTGTATTAACTTAAGCAGCTGTTTTAATTGTGTGTAAAAACCTAATGCAAAAACGTAGTCTAGGTCTCCTCCAAATAACAGAAGGTGAAACAAACTATTGGTATTTTCGGATAGCACTTACTGATGGGAAGTCTAGATTCCACATCAAAAGATGGAAGTAGGGATAAAAATTGCACACTGAAAGTGAAGATTGTTTTAAATATCCCTTGCTTTTTCAGCTTATTGTACTGATCAGACTTACTGCTGAAGTTTGCACAATAAAAAAAAAATCTTAAATGTTATGTTTGATTAATGTGAAGACAAGCTTTTGTAACAATTGTGTGTAATTAAGCCCTGGAAATCAAAAGTAATTAATAAGTCGAGTTAAACCATGCAAAGCACATTAAAAGTATGGTAATGCTTGTTTTCAGATGTCTCAATGTTCTTAGGTTTTCTTCTATTTAACTGAAACTGGTAAGCATTTGCCAACAAGTAGCTGCAAGCTCAGAATGCTGATTTCATATACAAAGAAAATGTTTGTTGGTTATCTTCCAGGCAGTATTAGATACTGCTGTGAAGGTCAAGATGGAGTTCTGAATATGCTACTGTGTGCACCATAACCCAATAAAGTTACTTTCATAAACATCGTAAGAGGCGCTGAACAGGAAATGGATGGCATATACTGAAAAGACTTGGGAGCTAGACCTTTTGTGAGCAATTACTGTCTAGGAATAAGCTCCGTTTCTCTAGAAGTTCTGTTTCAGTGCAGTGACCAGTTGCTTAAACATACTGCAGTGAGCACTGAGCACTCATGGTGCTATTTTTATTACAGCGCTATAAAATAAGACAAGAATCACAGGCCTAAAGGCACCTAAAGATCTATCCCGTTCTAGCATCAAAATGAAGACAGCTGTGTACCAGAGGCTAGGGCATAACAAAAAGAATCCAAAATACTAATAAAAATCCAAGATTAACTGTCTAAGTCTCCAGGACACGCTCTTCTTCCTGAGGTTGCTGTGATAAAATTTTATTAAAGTAACTTGGTAATTTGTTTGCATGGCTGGGTTCATCTTGTTACTTATTGAACCCTGCCAGATTAGATTTTAGTTCTGAAAAACTGATTTTCAGGGAAGTAATTTATTGATAAGACTCTAATAAAACATTCACAACCATCACAAGAAGGTCCCCGTTTGTATCTGATTGTGAAATGGAAATGGAGAATGTGAATTCGTAGGCGTTGAACTTGGAAAAATGAGTTCAAACAGGAGAAATGCTGTCATCTGGTTTCACTGGGATTAAACCAATGCTGGCATTTCTTTTTAAACCTTATCTTTTTAAGGTTGCTACACCTGTTCGCATGGAACTGACGTGACAGTCTCTGAAACACTCTCTGTGGGCCATTCTGGTCCCTCAAATCCCAGCCCTTCCAGAGCACAGTTACTCAGCTTTTTGACTGTGACTAAGACAAGATTAAATACAAATTAAAACGTGAGCCTCCAGGAGCCCGAGGATTTTAGTCAGCTGCTGTTTAAATGGGTAATTCCTTGGGGCTCCTCCACGTATCTGTCATTTTGTTGGGTTCTTCTCCATTGGTCGGTTCACCATCAGCCCATCCCGTGATCTTTAAGCACGGCAGCGCACCCAAGCTGAAAGCGGCACAACTCAGCTGAGGAGCGGCGGAGTGTGAAGGTTTGCTTCAAGAGCTGGATCAGCTCTGGGTGAGGATAAGGAAAATGGAGAGGGAAGGGTTTGACGTGCCTAGGGCACGGGGAGAGCAAGGGCTGGCGAACAAGGAGAGAGAGGAACCTGGCTGATGCACCTGGGGTAGGTGTGAATTTCTGGGCTGGAGCAGAAGGCAGCCTGCTGCCGAAGGAGCGCGTGCGAGGAGGCGACCAAGCCCCAGGCAGCCAGCATCTGTAAGCCAATTCGGTGCTAAACTGAAGTATCTTCTCGTGTAACTGATTCCTCGTTGTGTCCCTGAAACACTGAATCTTTGTTGTAGCTGTAGCTTCTCTCTGGGTGCTGGAGCTGGGCAGCAAGCTAGCGTTTACGTCTCCGAGCTCACTTCTGTTCAGCTTTGCTTGGGCTGCCCCACAAGAACACGGCTCACCGAGGTGAGGAGGGTGCCTGCAGCACCAGCTGGAGGGAGGTCTGGCCAGAGAACTTGGATCTGCGCTGTATGGGGCACTGTGGAGTTTTGGTACCCTGCTTTGGCTGAAGCTTGTCCTCTGCATGCAAGTGCCGTTTCACAAGCTGGGCTCCCTTGTCTCAGACTGGTACTCGGATGGGAAACATGTAAAGAATGGCTGTCTCCTGCAGCGCTTGGGAAATGGTGGGAGACGGGATTCTCACAAGTCAAAAACGAGCTGATGGCGAAGCAGGAGGTAGGGGGGATGCTGGACTGGCTGGGGTAAGATGAGTAATCGAGATGTACAGCAAGATCATAAATCCGTCTTTTACGAGAGTGGAGGACCTTGGCCCTATTCCAGTTTGCCTTGTGTTGTAATCGCAGGAATATCCTACCTTGAGATCTGGACGTGGTCAGTAGAATGTAGAAATATAAAATACGGAAATACTTGTCACGTATATTTTAAAAATAAGAAACGTGAGTAGCGAGAACATACATCACTGGAATTTAGACGTCTTTGGAGAAGTGCGTAATTTGCGATAGTGATTAGCAGCAAGATGAAAGTGGTGACAACGCTAAATGTTAGGTGCTTACTTGTACTTTGTGCTTGGCTTGTAGAGGGAAGCTAGCAAGCTGAAATAGCTTGTTTTGGAAAGTGAGGTGAGGGCTGTGAGGTGGAGTGTGACCCCAAATGCATGCTGAGAAGGAGATGTGCTTGAAAATGAACGACTGCAAAAGCAGGATCTCCATATATTTACAGGTCTATTTCTGTGCTCTTGAATTCACCTACTTGATGTGTAAATGACTGGAGCGGCGTGTGGAGCAAGGTGCGGCTGTCACTTCCTTTGCAGCTTCGTGGTGTTCGAACGCTTGCCTGATACCCGGGAGCCTTTCTGCTTTGGTGTTATTTAAAGACATTTGCATTCACTCAGGGCTCAAATCTAAAACAGAGGCTGAACAGCTCAGTGGATGCAAATCCCCCGGCTGGAACGCCCCTCTGAAAAGGGGATTATTGCTCATGTTTACCCCAGGCTCATGTCCTCGGTGCCTGCCGGGAGTGAGATCGATCTCCCTCAGCTCGTCCTGCTGGACGCTGAGCCCCTGTGTTTGACTGTGTGCCGGTGGCCAGCTTTGCCTCCTGAGTGCCCCCAGTAGACGCTTTGATAACTGCAAGGTTGAGGGAAATAACCATTCTGCGAACACCGCTTAGCGAGGGTGTGCAGGCGGAA